TGCTTGCAAGTACAACAGACCCCACTTCAAACTAGCTTGAGCAAAACGGAAAGGAAGTTTCTGGTTTGTGTAACTGACAAACCCAGGGTTAGAACAACAGATTCAGATGTGGCTTAGAACCAGGGTCTCAAATGATGTCTCCAGGAACCAGACTTCTCTTTGATCTGATTTTCTCAGCACTACCTTTACTTTCAAGTAGGTTCTTCCCTGTCACAGCTCCCATTACATCCTCCTATTTTGGCGGCCCTAGTGAAGTTTGTGGGGGGAAAAAAGAATGCTTTTTCCCCCTTGGTTAAGCCAATAAAAGTCCCAGACCAGAATTTCACTGGCTGGGTCTTGCTCAAATACCCACCTCTCTGCCCAATCTTAGATTCTGATTGGCTGAGTCTGGATCATTTGTCCACTGTAAACCAATCCTTAGCTTATGGTTGGCTCAACCTAGGATACATGTTAATACTTAAAAGAAAATTGAGAATGTTATCCCATGAAAGGGGCAGGTGCTGGTCAGGCAGCTTCACAGTTGTTTCCCACGTGACATGATGGCTGTGGGCCTCTGGTTTAGTGTGACCTTTTTCTCAGATGAGATCGGGTGCATTCAGGGTGATATGGCCATAGACGTGTGACCTTTCTCTCAAAGAAAGTCCAGAGCCTGGAGACAGATCTCAGCCCCCACCCAAACCAGGAAAATGTGCAACGCTGTGACTCCGCCCCCCGGTCTGTCCATCAAAGCAGAGCCCACATCCAGTTGGTCCGTCTGCTCCATTAGAAAGCGGTCCTACAGCTCAATAACTGACTTCTCTCTAAGACCAAATAGAGGAGCTGGCATGAAGTCATTATTAAATTGATCTTTCTTGGAGACGCAGGGTTTGGCAATACTTTAGGAAACAACGTGATCCTTTCCAGATCTCGACGCTCATTCCTCAGCATTCAAGTTGTCTCAAATTGAATCATATATTTTAAACCAAAACGTCATCACTTTCTGCACATAAGACAGTCTTATACCTGTGTGTGTGTGTGTGTGTGTGTGTGTGTGTGTGTGTGTGTGTTTAACCTAAAAGGGAGAAAACTAAAATTCTCAAGACCTACACTGTCCATCAGCACCCTTGAGCACTCGAAAGGTAGCTAGTCCCAACTGAGATGTTCAGTCTATACACACTTGTTTTCAAAGACTTCGTGCCAAAAAAAGGAATACAAATAGGCCCATTAATCATTTAAAAAATACTACCTTCATGCTGAAATGATCATAGTTTTGGTATATTATGTTAATAAAAACCGTATTCGGATTTTTTCACATACTAGCATTCTTTTGGCTGACGTCTTTTTAGCCTTTTAATGCGTCGGCTAGAAATTTTTAATTTTTAATTTCTTTCTTTATTGTAGACTGAGTCTCCCTCTGTTGTCCAGGCTGAGTGCAATGGCGTGATCTCGGCTCACTGCAGTCTCTCCCTCCCAGGTTCAAGAGATTCTCCTGCCTCAGCCTCCCAAGTAGCTGGGATTACAGGCGCTCACAACCACACCTGGCTAATTTTTGTATTTTTAGTAGAGTTGGGGTTTCACCATGTTGGGCAGGCTGGTTTCGAACTCCTTACCTCAGGTGGTCCATCCGCCTCAGCCTCCCAAAGTCCTGGGATTACAGGTGTGAGCCACCATGCCCAGCCTCCCCCCAGGATTGCAAAAAAGCAGGGGATTTGGGGAGGGAGGGAAGGATGTGGGTCTGCCCTCAGTCCCAGAGGTGGGTGTGGCATTCCAGTGGTTAGTTCCCGTTGCCTCACATCTGTGCTTTTCCTCCCTGGGGCCTTCTAGAAGAACTTCTTGGGGTGGAGCTGAGGGGTGGAACTGAGGCTGGGGAGAGGAAGGTGTTGGGGGAGCCAGGGGTCCTATCTCCAAGCCTGGTTGCTCTTCCCCAAAAAGTTGGGACCCTGAGGTGTCACAGCTTCTCTTTTGAGATCGGACTGGAGTTAGGAGGGTGAGGTCCATCCTGGTAGACACAGACACACATAGACACACAGCTTCCTGTAACATTTCCAGGTGTCCTATTCCATCTCTCCGTCTAGGGGGTTTTCTTCTTGGTCCTTACTGAGACCTCTTGGCTCCCAAGACCCTCTTGATTGGGGCAGGGATGAGAGTGCCCCAGGGTGGGAGAGTCATGGATCCCTGAAAAGAGGAGGCTGCTCCCCCTCTGCCCTCCCCCCACCTTCAGATTTCCTCATCTGCCTCGACAGCTTCCGGTGGGTGGAGAGGTGTATGGACCAATTTGCGGGCTGGGGACCGTGGACGTGGAGGAAATCTACAAGCACCAGGGAGTCAAGATGCAGGCACCAGCCTTCAAAGAGAAGAAACGGGGGGTCCCAACCAAGAATCAAGGTTAGGAACCTCAAGGTGGAAGGGAGGGGTCAAGAAGGAGAGGTTGGGAGATCGGGGACTGGGACTCACATCTGTAATTCCAGCACTTTGGGAGGCTGAGGCGGGAGGATTGAGTGAGCCCAGGAGTTAGAGACCAGCCTGGGCAATGTCAGGAGACCCTGCCTCTAAAAAAATAAGAATAAAAAAGGGAGGGGTTCAGATGGGAGAGGTATGGGGTTAAAGGTGGGGGCCAGGGGCTCCTTCCCCTCCAGATGTGTGTGTGTGTGTGTGTGTGTGTGTGTGTGTGTGTGTGTATGTCTGTGGTGTGATAGTTCAAACCTTCATACACCTGCTCGGCTTAACCAAAAAGCAGATTTTAGCTTCTCACTTTTTATCTTTCATCCTCCACAATTTACTGAGTGCAGAGGGTTGGGTAAACCAAGATCCCAGATCCCCTCTCCACACCACAGAGCTCTGAGCAGGTTTCCAAACTGCCCCCACCCCCGCCCCCACCACTGCTTCCCATGCAGGTGCCCATGACCCAGACTATGAGAATATCATCTTGGCCTTCAAAAACCAGGACCAAGCGAAGGGTGGTCATTCACGACCTACGAGTCAAGGTGAGCAGACACCCACCTGCTCACATCCCATCACAACCTTGGGAAGGGACAGGTAGGTAGGCATCTGCAGGGCCCCAGGCCTGAGACCTCTTGGCTCCTCATGGAAGGGAGGAGGCAACGGGGAAGGAATAAGTGACAGCTGTCGATGTGCTAATGAGGTCTGTTGCTGGTGATGATGTTGGGAGTGCTGGTGAGGGTCTGTGATGGGGATGGTATTAGGGAGGATCGCTGAGGGTGGCTGGTGGTGGCAGCGTTGTTGACGATGACGGTGAGCCGCATGGGCACAGCTGCTGATGGTTTTGGGAGGAGTGAGGCATCCATGGTGTTAGAGAAAGTGAGGACCGTCTGAGTGGTGGTGCTGGCCCCGCGAGGTCACTTGGCTACCTCTCTGCTCCAGTCCCATCACAGTGCAGGCCACCCTCAGACTCTATCCAGACCCCCTGTTGGTTGTACAGAGCCATCCTGAGTGTGTACGCCCTCTTGGCCCTGGTCTTCATCCTCTGCATCATCCTCTCTGTCTTCATCTTGGTGAAGAGTGAGTGCTTATTCTCGGGAGGAGGGTGCAGGGGCGCCTAGGCTGTCTCCCTTGTCCCTCTCCCTCTCTCCCTCGGTGCTTCAAGGATTTTCCTGCCCCTCCTGAACAGATTCTGAGATGTCCAAGGAGCTGGTGGACTTAAAAAGGGACCTTTGGAATGGTGAGCGGAGGGTCTAGGGGAGACTCGTGGGGTAATGGTGGGGGCGTGGAGAGGGGTGGATGCACAGACACCCCTGTTTCATGCCCTCAGTCTCAAACTCCATGCAAACACGTGAGGAGAGGCAGAAGAAAGACTGCGAATCCATTAAGGAGAGCATCAAAGGGGTCAGAAGCAAGGTGGAGAAATTAGAGACACCGTTAGCAGGTTCCTGTGTAGTCCCGCCTTCTGTGTGTGTGTGGGATTTGTCACCAATGCCCGGCACGCAGTTGGGGGCAGGGGAGTCAGGGGAGGAGACAGCTGGGGTCCGACCCTCACAAAGCTCAAGTCGTGGAAAGGTGATGGATGTTACCCTCTGGGTCGCTCCGTGGGTATTTAAAGGCTCCTGGGAGCTGGGTGCAGTCACTCATGCCTGTAATCCCAGCACATTGAGAGGCTGAGGCAGGTGGATCACAAAGTCAGGAGTTTGAGATCAGCCTGGCCAACATGGGGAAAACCCTGTCTCTACTAAAAATACACGCTCAAAAAAAAATATTAGCCAGGCATGGTGGCACATGCCTGTAATCCCAGCTACTTGGAGAGAATTGCATGAATCAGGGAGGTGGAGGTTGCAGTGAGCCAAGATCACACCATTGAACTGCAGCCTGGGCGACAGGGTGAGACTCTGTCTTTTTTTTTTTTTTTTTTTTTT